TTGCGATTCAGCAGCGATTCGCAGATGGAAATTCGGTCCATGAGGTTTTTTTGCGTTAACTCGTGTGGCACCCATACATCGAGCTTCTTTTTGTATCCAGCCTTATTCAAGTGGTTCCAAACGGTTTCTTGTGCAATGTTTAGCTCCTGGGCGAAAAAATCGAAACAGTGCTTACATGACGGTCGGACTCGACGATTTCCATTATTTTATCGACATTTTCGACAATTGGCCTTCCAGAGCGTGGTGCATCTTTGACATCAAAATTACCGGAACGGAATCGACGAAAATTGCGCGTGATTAGCTGTTACAGGGCCATAAATACTATTCACATTTTCAGCCGTCTGGCTTGCGTTTTCGCCTTCATCGAAGAAAAACTGTAAAATATGGCGTATTTTCTCTTTGCTGGTGTCCATCTTTGACGCGCGCTCAAACAATACTGAGTCAAACAATCACAAAACTGTCTCAGAAGTTTTTTTAGTATGAAATCTTATCTTTCTAACGCCATCTAGCGTAAACCAATCGCACTTATACAACGCGAGATACACATTATTAAAGCCATCTATTGGAAAAATAATGGATTTCTTTTTACTACACCTTATATAAAGTCAGCAAAATAAAAATTGTTAAAAACACGAAACAAATAGTAGATTTTGTCGTTTCAAAATTTGTACTAATTTGTACCACCAAAAAAGTATCAAAAATATATCTGCCGCTCCTTTAAAATAACCTCAATTTTGACCTCAGCTTCAAGAATAAAGCTTTCTGTTTCGATTATTAAGTACTAAATCAGTAAAATCAAATCAAATTTATTGCAATTTTCAGTATTTATTGTGCAGTATTTTGTACCATTAAAAATGATTTTGTACCTTGTTTTATTTATAAAAAATTGTTGTTCTGCTGACTTAATTTTAAGTTAACAGAGTAAATATAATTGAAAAACGGCAAATTGCAATAGATTTTATTGTTTCTGAATTTGTATTAATTTGTACTACCGAGAAAAATATGCAAATATTTCTGTTTACCCCTTTAAACAACCTCACATATAACCAATCTCAAAAATAAAATTTCTTTCTTTCGATTATTAAGAATTAAATCGATAGAATCAAATTATATTTGTTGCGTTTTTTATTACTCATTGTGTACTAGTTTGTACCATAAAAAATAATTTTGTACCTCGTACTATTTAAAAAAATATTGTGGTCCTGCTAACTTAATGTAAAGAGAACAAAATAAAAACTAGTAAAAAACGACAAGAAATGATAGATTTTATCGTTTTTGAATTTGTACTAATTTGTACCATCAATAAAAAGTGAAGAAATCGTGATCCTGCTATCTTTATATTAGGTTTAGATAAGGGAGGGGTTATTTAAAGGGGAAAATATAAAATTTTCGATTTATTTAGAATAGTACAAATTCAGTATTAATTGTGTGTATCATGGTTTATTTTTTTTTATTTTTTTTTTTTGATCCTGCTATCTTGATATCAAGTTAGCCACCATTTTTTTTAAAACGGCACGTGGTGCAAATTTTTTTGTGGTACAAAATAGTACAAAATGAGTACTAAAAAATGCGATAGTTCCAATTCGATTCTGCTCATTTGGTCCTACTAGCTTGAGAGAGGTGTTTTATGCTTGTTAAGCAGTCTGCTATATATTTCATTTCTTCCCATTCACTGTTTGTGGGGATAACACCATACCGTTTATTTATTTCTAGATAACGTATCACTATCTCTAAAAAGATATTTTTATAAGTAATATATATTTTTATTCAAGATAAGTATCCATGTATATCTTTTATATATATATATATATATATATATATATATATATATATATATATATTATGTACATTATATTATATACATATACATATACAGGGTTGGCAAAAAGTCCGGAAACGGTCAAATATCTCGAAAAGGATCAACTATAGCGAAAAATATGTAAGTAGCAAAGTTATAGGGCTTAATAAAATGTACCTAATGATGGCTAAAAATTTGACTTTGAGTGGAGAACGAAGGTTATACGAAGGTCAAATTGAATTTTTTAAATTGGATAATTTAATTTATACCTTATCTTTTCTTATGTTTGTTATCAAGATCTTTAGGGCCGGTTTCACCAACTACGATTAAGCTAACCGACGGTTAAAAGTAGCGGAGTAGCCGACACCTACGTCGTGGGTCTGCAGTTTATATAGATGGGCCTCTAAACGCTCCGTGACGCGTCAGTGGCAACAACGGCGGCGACGGCGGCGGCGTACGCCGAAAATCTCACAGTGACGGCGGCGGCGGCGGCGGCGTAGCGTGGCCGCAGATGTCTACTGTGGACGGGCCTGAGAACTAGAGATGGGCGATACAATCCAAAAGTATCGATACACCGTATCGAAACGTATCGTAAATACAAGTATCGATACGAAAAAAAATATCGAAGTTTTTGTATCGATATTGCCAATATCGATACTTGAATTGAAACATTAGGGGTGCGTTATTTCGGAAAATGGTATTTAGGAACTAACCCGTAAGGGCTCCGAGAACCAATACTGAGAGAGAGAGAGAGAGAGAGAGAGAGAGAGAGAGAGAGAGAGAGAGAGATTAGGGGTGTGTTCCGAAATAGTTTTTGGAAACTTTGGTTTTAGTTATAAGGTTGGTCGAACTGAAACTAACTTCGATATGTTCCGTGAACGATCAGCTGATTCACGCGATCAGTCCAAAATCTCCAATCATAAAGTCAATCGCGTGAATCAGCTGATCGTTTGCGGAACATATTTAAGTTAGTTTAAAGCATACCAACTTTATAACTAAAACCAAAGTTTCCGGAAACGATTTCGAAACGCAAGCCACAACGTTAGACGTAC